CTGCCAGCCCAGCCCCGGGCTCCCCCACACTCTGCCGGTGCCCCTCACTCCCGACCCGCAGCCCCCTGCCAGCCCAGCCCTGGGCTCCCCTTCCCCCGGGGTCCGCGCTGACCTCTCTGCTCCGCTGCCCGCAGTGCTGGAGATTCTGAACCTGATTCAGCAGCGGGACCTGCTGGCGGCAGACAAGCACATCATCGAGCTGGAGGTGGAGTGCGGGCGGGAGGGCCCCCTGAGCGGCGAGGCCGGGGCCGGCAGCCGCAAGGCCAAGGACGTGACGCTGCTGTACGAGGCCCTGCTCCAGCAGCTGTGGGCTATGCTGGCTGAGGCCCTGGCGGCCCGAGGCACCTACCCGGCCCTGGAGCTGATGGTGCGGGTGATCGAGCAGGAGGAGGCCGCGGACCGGCGGTGGCTGGAGGTGCAGGGGGGCGGCGCGGGGCCCCGGCCCCGGGCCATGCGCCGCAGGTGGGCCGAGGCGGTGAAGCGGGCGGTGGGCGAGCGGCTGGGCCAGTGCGCGGAGGACAGTGGCGGCCCCCTGGCGGGGCACGTGGAGCGCCTGACCCGCTGCTTGGTGGAGGACCTCAGCGCCGTCAGGACCCACCTGCTGCCGGCGTATCCCCCCGAGTACCAGGCCCTGGACGTCTACGCCCGCAGCTACCATGAGGGGCTGGCCCAGCTGCTGGGCAGCATCGCCCAGAGGAACCTGTCCATCGCCGAGCTCTACTTCCTCCTGGATTGGCACAGCAACACCTACCCCAGGTGAGGGGCGGGGCTGGCTCCTGGAGCGGGGGGGGGCGGGGAGCAGGGACGGGCTGGTATGGTGGGGGGGGGTGAGGGGCAGGGCCGGTACCTGGCACTGGGGCCCTGTGAGCTGGCGCTGGGAAGGGGGCCGTGCAGGGGGGGGCCCTGCTCTCATGGCTGTCTCTGCCCCCAGGGAGGTGCTGGGGCGGTTGGACATCGCCCCACTGCTCAGCGCCCACGAGCTAGAGCCCCTGCTGCCCCCCGAGACCCGGCGCCGCTTGGAGGAGGCCTGCGTTGCGGCAGTGAAGGTAACAGCGGGGCCTGGTGCCCACCCCCCACGGCGCCTCCTCCCTCCACTCTGCCTCCCCATGGCAGCCTCAGGCTCCTCCCCTGCCCCCTGCGGCGCCACCCCGCTCCTGCCCCACTCCCTCCCCATGGCACCTCCCCACCCCCTTCTCTTCCCCTTGGTGCCTCTGCGCTGGGAGTGGGTGATTTTCCCCCCCCAATAGTCCAGGGGGTTGCGGGTGTCAGTCCTTTAATAAGTAGGTGGGGGGAGCTGGTCGGGGGCGGGGAGGAGTTTACAGTCCGGCCGAGCTGCAGGGCCTGGCTGGGAGCCGGCCAGCCGGACACCAGGCCATAGGGCGAGAGGTGCTGGGGCAGCCCATGCGCCCCCCCCCCTTAGAGCTCCCCCCGCCGGTGACATCTTCTCTGTTTCCACCTAGACCAAGATCGTGGCAGACATGAGCCGGGAGCTGCGGGAGGAGGAGCAGCGCTGGGCACAGGAGCCTGGACAGGACCACAGCCAGCTGGAGCTGTCCAGCCGGGTGATCTCTGTGCGTCCAGGGCCAGGCCACTCACCGCTACCCATCTGCACTGGGCCCCCCACTCTCCCTCCGGCAGTGCTTGGCCCCCAGGCTCCCCGGGACCCTTCCCTGCCATGCCTGGCCCCCGGGCTCCCCACTCCCCCTCCCCCTGTGCCAGGCCTTCCCTGCCACACACAAACCCTCCCTCCCCCCCATGCAGTCAGCTGTTCACCCTCCAGGTGCTAGTGGCCTCTGCCTCTCGTGCTGGCTGAGCGGGGCCAGGAGTCGCCCGTTGGGCCCACGGGTGCCAGGGCAGAGGGCAGCCCCTGGCCCAGCCGAGTGGGGAGATCCATGGGAGCCTCTGAACCGGCCTGGGGCTTGATCCAGGCTCCTCCTCTCCCCCCTTCCCTGGCGGCCAGGTCCAGCCTTCCCCTCCCTCACCCCCCTGCCCCATTCCCCAAGCCGCAGCCTGGCTCTCCCAGCTCCCCCTGGACCCCGGGCGTGGGGCGGGCCCATGTGGCCATCCCCCCCGCGCCCGT